ATAAGATAACTAGCTCAAATTTAATTAAATTTGCTTGACATGAAGGTGAGGTTTTAGAATGCAAAATTCAATACTGTTATTATGAAATTATATCTCACCACACGTTTACTTGTATTATACTGATTTTTGGCCAGATTGCACTTTTGTCACAGAAGTTGGGAGAAGCATATATCTATATCATAGTGTATGGGCATATAGCATGTGGCTTTTAAGTGCAAAATGAGTGAGATAAAAGTTACATAAAATTGTAGCATGAGGGAGAAAAATAAATTGAATAGTGGATAACCAAGTAAGATAACCAGTATAAATGCCCAGTGATAGGGGAAATCATGGGAAGCACACACAGAAACTAATGAGTAAAGGGTATTTTATTCTGTTTATTAGGCTTAAAACAATAATTGTTGATTATAATAGTTTATCTCTTATACATGAGTTACTTTTCTCATGTTTTGAGTATCACCACACTTTTAAGTCTGCTCTGTGGCTTGAGTCAGGATGGAAACATGAGAACACCTTGCTACCTTTTTCTTTTAATGCCTTCATTTTGAAACTTGGGGACTACTTAGGACAATGCTGTTCACTAGATCTCTCTGTAGTGATGGAAATACTGTCCAGCTTTACTGCTCAATATGATAGTCACAAGCTACATTTGGTTACTGAGCACTTAATATGTGGCTAGAGGAACTGAGGAACTGAATTTTCAATTTAATTTCAAATTTAAATAGCTATGTGTGGCTACTGATTGCTGCATGAAAGCTTCAAGATTTCAGCCAGGTAAGGGTATTCTTACCTTGTATATTTAAAGAGAGCCGGACGAACATGAGAAGTGAACATTTGGAGAATTGTGGATTTTCTGGGCCTTAAATGTCCTTGTCCCTGTAATGTCACCTCCCCCTTGTGCTTTTTGCTGAAAGCTCAGGTGCACATGAAGTGATACTAACCATGTTGGAATAGTTAGATTTTGAATAGATCCTCTTCCATGATCTGAAGAGTGTTTGAAGTTAATCTGGTTACTACTTCCTAGAACTCAGCACCTGTTAGGTTACTTGTTGAAATGTCTAGTCTCATCATGAGAAAAGGAAATTCGTGTGAATAGTGATGCTGGAATTTAGCAAGAGGAAGAAAGTATAGAAGAGGGGGATGAGACCTAAATATTTGTTAGCATTTTTATTTTTACAAGTTTTTACCCTCAAAGCTATGTGCCAACTAGTGAGAATTAAAAATCGAAACAATAATTGTTGCCTCATGACTATATTATAGAATCTATATGGAGGAATTTTTCATTAGAAGAAATATCTACTACATTAAAGGTGTCACATGTACACTATAAATCTTAATGTTTTGAACCGCCACTCGTTTTAAGAACATTACCAATACTGTTATGTAACTTATATGCTCTTTCCCTGCCTGTTCAACCCTTATCCTGCATTTGTTTCTTTTTCTTTTAAAATATTTTATTACATGTGTTTGTATCTCCAAACAACCTATTTAATTTTGCTTCAAGTTTTACAAAAATGGCACCTTCGTTTGTTCTTTGCTCAGTAATTTGAATTTTTCACTCAGTACTATTTTTAAGATTTATTCATGTTTCCAAAAGTTTTATAAAAGTTTATTTATGATGTTTTGTCAATATATACATTATATAGTTACTATGTATGGTATTTGTGTTATATTCACTCAGTTCCTTGAATAAACCACATATTTTCATTCTATTTTTAAAAAGTTCTCATGAGCACATTGACCCCATAAATGCATTAATGTACACAGTTATGACTTAATAAAAAAATTTTTAAGAGAAAAAAGTTCAGCATATCTCAAAAATTTGATTTGCTTCCTGTTTTGCTGTTGTGAACAAACTTCAATGAGTATTTTGTCTTTTCCTAGTTTTCTAATTATATATCTGTCATGAATGGTGTTGAATTGTATTATATACTTTTATTTAGAGAGGTAATTAGTCTTTCTTCATCTTTTAATGTTGTAAATTACCTTTTTCTCTTTTTTTATTTTTAGATGTTTCAGCATTTAAACAGCCTTGCAACTTGGTCATAGTATATTTTATCCATTCAATTTACTTTTGGGTTTGGCTTACTTATATTTGTTTTTGAGATTTTTTTATCTGTGAGGTTTATAATTTTCTTCTGAATGTGTAACATCAAGGTTATATTGGCTTCATGGAATGAGTTAGTGAATAATTCCTATTTCATGGGATAATTAAGATACCTGAATGATTTGTTCCTTAAGAATTTGGTAGAACTCACCTGTGAAACCTTATCTGTATATCTGCCTGATTTAAGTACTGATTTAATTTCCATAAATCAGTGGGGTTTATTTTTATTGTTTCTTGAGTCATTTTTGGAGAATTAATTTTCTAGGAACATTTCCATTTCTTTTAAGATTTTTAATTTAGTAGCAAAGTTGTTCAGAGAAATTCTTTTTGTCTTTATTTTCTGTCCTTGAGATTCAATAAAAAAATCCTAATACTGTTTATTTGTGCTTTTACTATCTGTTACCTTCTCACCCCCTCATTAGTCTTCTGTAATTCATCACTCTGGCAAGTTTTTTATTTTGTAGCTTTTGGGCAGGTCCGGGCTTGAACCTGCCACACCTGGTATGTGGGTTGCTGCTGTACTCCTTAAGCCACAGGTGCTGCCCCACTCTGGCAAGTTTTATTGATCTTTTCAAAGAACCAGGTTTTGAGTTTGTGAGCTATTGTTTTATATCTTTATTTCCTATTTTATTAATTTCTGCTCTTGTCTTTATTTCCTCTTCACTTTTGTATGATTTACTTTCTTCTTCCAATGTTATTGTTCATTGAGTGGCTATGAAACTTAATAAAATTAAATTATTAATTATTAAATTATTAATAAAATTCTTATTTTCTACTATAACTGTTTCAGTACTTCTAGTAACATTTTATCATATGATTCCAAGTATTTTTAACTTCCATTGTGGGCTTTTTTTGAGTTGTGGATTAAAAGTATTTTTAAAAATATATTCACAGGCTCAGTGCCTGTGGCTCAAGTGGCTAAGGCACCAGCCACATACACCTAAGGTGGCGGGTTCGAATCCAGCCTGGGCCCGCCAAACAACAATAATGGCTGCAACCAAAAAATAGCGGGGCGTTGTGACTGGTGCCTGTGGTCCCAGCTACTTGGGAGGCTGAGACAGGAGACTCGCTTTAGCCTAGGAGTTGGAGGTTGCTGTGAGCGTGATGCCATGGCACTCTACCCAGGGGGACAGCTTGAGGCTCTATGTCAAAAAAAAAAAAAAAAAAAAAAAATATATATATATATATATATTCACAAATAGAGGAGTTTTTAAACAAGTTTTTTGAATTTAATAACTTATTTGATTACATTGTGATTAGAAAATTTTACATATATGATTACTGACTTTTGAAATCAGTGGTTGAATTTACATCATGTCCTTAGACATGGCCAGTTTTCATAAACATCCTATTTGTTGTTGGAGAATATCAGTTCTTCTACATTGAAAGCTGTGTATGTCTATGAAGTTAAAATGCATAGTATTCTATGAATGGCCATAATTTCTTTATTCTCTTTTTAGTAAGATTTTTGCTATTACAGAAAGTGCTAATAGAAACATCTTTGTGTATCTTTGTAACTGCTTGATTATATCCAGAGAAGAAATTTGTATTAGTGTACTTTAAAAAAGATTATGCATTTTAAATTAGGATCAAGATTGATTCAGTTGATAGTCTAAATATAGTGTATGGTTGTGCTTGTTTTCCTGTATCATTTGCTCTCTGGGTATTAGCAAACTTAAAATTTTTTCTGTTCAATCATATGGTTAAAAATTGCTGAATTACTGTCTCCTTTTAATTTCCAGTTCTTTAATTATGAGTGAGAGTAAGTCACCATTTACTTTTTTTTTTTTTGGAGAACTACCTATTCATATTTATAGTCTTTTTTTTTGAGACAGAGTCTCACTATATTGCCCTGGGTAGAGTGCCATGGCATTATAGCTCACAGCAACCTCAAACTCTTGGGCTCAAGAGATCCTCTTGCCTCAGCTTCCCAAGTAGCTGGGACTACAGGTGCCTGCCACAACACCCAGCTGTATTTTACAGAGGGGGCCGCGCTCTTGGTCAGGCTGGTCTTGAACTCGTGAGCTCAGGTGATCCAACCGCCTTTTCCTCCCAGAATAGTCCATTTTTATTTACTTATTTTTAGAGATAGGATCTGCATCATTTGCCCAAGCTGGAGCATAGTGGTACTTCATGATCATAGCTCACTGTAACTTTATTTATTTTTTTTTATTGATTGGGATTCATTGAGGGTACAAAGAATTACACTGATTGCGTTTGTTAGATAAAGTCCCTCTTGTAATTGTGGCCACTGTAGTTTTAAACTCCTGCATAGCACATTTTTCTGTTAGGCTCTTTGTCCCCTTTCTTATTACTACATAATATTCCTCCTTTGATTGAAAAGGCCTATCATCTGCAACTACTTAGATACAAAACTCAAGGAAGAGGTTCTTTTTTTTTGAGACAGTCTCACTATGACACATTGGTAGAGTGCCATGGCGTCACAACTCACAGCAACCTCAAACAATTGGGCTTAAGCAATTCTCTTGCTTCAGCCTCCCAAGTAGCTGGAACTACAGGCGCCCACCACGTGGCTGGCTATTTTTTTGTTGTAGTGTCATTGTTTTTTAGCAGGCCTGGGCTAGGTTTGAATCTACCAGCTCCGATGTATGTGGCTAGCACTCTAGCTGCTGAGCTACAGGCGCTGAGCTATGGAAGAGGTTCTTTTTTTTTTTTTCCTGTAGAGATAGAGTTTCACTTTATGGCCCTCAGTAGAGTGCCATGGCATCAGCACAGCTCATAGCAACCTCCAACTCCTGGGCTTAGGCGATTCTCCTGCCTCAGCCTCCCGAGTAGCTGGGACCACAGGCGCCTGCCACAAAGCCTGGCTATTTTCATGGAAGAAGTTCTTGATGGTTTTGTTTGACTTGCTTCAAAATATTATTTGCTTTAGAAATGGATGATGGACCTTCAAGAAGAGATCATTTCATGAGAAGTGGATTTGGCTCTGGAAGGAGTTTAGGAAATAGAGGTAAGTATCTTTGTCTTCCATTATCTTTTGAACTGTCACATAGTGAAAAGGTTTTCTTAGCTATTTGGTGCAAAGCTAAGTCTATTATAACAGTGTATAGTAAACTTTGTGTTGAGATAATGAGTTCATCATTTCTTCAAGTGTCAATGTGTTTTTTGCCATTTTACTTTTTTAGGATAGTAGGAAATAGTTGATTGGACAGATAGACAGGTTGGGTGGTTATGCATGTCACAGAGCTGCTTCTTAATGTGTTTATGATAGTGATTTCCAACAGTTGACATGGGAAAAATGTTTTTCAAAAACTTCAGGTATTAGAAGAGGCAAAGAGCTCTTCCTTGAGTTTTATATTTTTCAAGAAGAGGCAATATGGGGAACATTTCTGTTAGCTCAGTAATGTTAATTTTCTAAGAGGTCACTTAGCTAAGGGGACAGGGGATGGTCGAGATGGCTGAGTAAGAGACAGGAAAACAGCACTGTCAGACTATCCTGGCTGGAGTTAGGAAGGTTTGACAGACTTGAGCTGGGAGCAATTATAGTTTAGATGTAGATCATAAGGAGAGGAAGCAGAGGAATCTGGCAATCCTATAGAGAAGAAATGTGAAGATCAGAAAGAGGAAGAAAGAGAGGAGAGGACAGAGGCAGCACAGATTAGATCCAGAAAAGCTTGAAGCCAAATAGAAGGGTGAGGGTGATCCCCTCCCTGACTTGGGTGTCTTTCGCAGGACACAGGAGCTCTCACCTGCTGGGAGAGTGCCATGAGGGACCAGAGAGTGAGTTTTACTGCACCTAAATGTTTCCTCCTCTGCATCTTCCCCATTCCTGGCATAACAGCAATTTTGGCTATAACCACAAGCCTATTCCCACTTCCCATAGCAATAAGAGAAAGTACTCAGTGCTGAGGCCTGATTCCCTCTATGCTGGCATGTGGTGGGGATGCCTACCCAGCAGTGTGGACAGCCATACTGCTCTGCTACCCACCAAGCATAGGCCTGGGGAAGGGAGCCTGGGCCCCATTCTCTTCCCTGCCTCCCCTCCTCTTACCCCCACCCCTCCAACCAAGAGAGTATACAGTGCTGTGCTGAGGCCTACTTCTCTCCATACTGGTGTCTGGTGGGAATTCCTGCTAGTGGATTGGTCAGGTGGGCTGGACCCGTGATCCCTGGGTGCAGCTGCAGTGCAGGGAGACTGGGCCCTGCCCTTCTCCAATAGCAAGCCGGAGTGTGCTCGGTGCTGAGGCCTGCTTTTCTCTGCATTGGTGTTTAGTGATACCACAAGATACTTTGTACCAGAGGCTTTTTCCCCCTGCCATGGGGGTATATCCTAGGCTGTGCCTGCCACTGAGAGCAGAGACACATGGACTAGAGAGCTGGATTGAAGTGGCAAAAGAATGCATATACCTGATTTCAAGGGAGTCGATTGTGGAATTTCAGGAAGCAAATAGGGCCACCCCACAGAGAAACCAGGCAAATGAATAGGGTTAGAAGAAACCTGGCCTAGGGCCTTTGCAATCACTCAGAATAAGCCCCCCAACCCCCAGCCCTCCTGACTTGGAGCGATTACTCTGAACTGCATGTCAGTGGCGCTCGCTACTGGCCAAATAAGAGACCTCTGAGCCCTGCTGAGACTTAGCAAAGCTCCTCAGGCTCTTGCTTTCCACTGGTTTTGCTTCTCTCACTTTAGGGGGAAGAGGGACCAAATAATGCCCTATGAGCTTCAGGGTCCCTAAAACTTGGGGTGTTTGTGTGCCCTACCTGGGGTCCAAAGCCCACCACAGACAGAAAAAGAACATCTTGGCAGCTGACTCTTCCATACAAAATTCAGTCCATGGCTGGCAGAACAACGCCATAGGTAAACACAGTGCTTTCCTACTCAAGCAGTTAGGGAGCAGCAGATTTATACTCCTAAGTATAAGCCACAAACTCAGAGATTAAGCTTGGGGACCAAAATTCATTACACTGTTGGGAAGAGGTGAAAATAGGCAGTCAGAGGTAACCCATGAGGTTCACCAAACCTGCTAGAGCACTCGAAGGCAACTCAAGTCCAGCCCTCATCCCTCTAACATAGGCAGGGATCGATCATTAGGGATTTGGAGACAGGTCGATAAGCCACCCTAGCACCCCCAGCTCTTAATTAAGAGGTCCGATGGGGTGGAATCAGTGAAAGAACTACAGAGGCATGAAAAATTAGAGTGAAAGGACACCCCCAAAAGAAATCGAAACTCCTTACTGATAGATGCCAACCTAAACAAAATGGTTAAAATGACAAGATGAAGAAATTTGAATGTGAGCAGTAAGAAAGCTCAGTGAAATACATGAGAAAATAGAATCCTAACACAAAGAAGCCACAAAAACAATGCAGGAAATGAATGTAAAATTCTCTAAAAGAACTTGGATTATTAAAGAAAAACCAAGCAGGCTCGGTGCCTATAACACAGTGATTATGGTGCTAGCCATATGCACCAAGACTAGCGGATTTGAACCCAGCTTAGGCCAGCTAAACAACAATGACAGCTGCAACAAAAAAATAACTAGGAGTTGTGGTGGGTGCCTGTAGTCCCTGCTACTTGCACCCACAAGTAGCTGTGGCTGAGACATGAGAATTGCTTAAGAGTTTGAGGTGGCTGTGAGCTGTGATACCACAGCACTCTACCCAGGGTGACATAGTGAGACTCTGTCTATTAAAAAAAAAAACCCCAAAAAACCACAATTAGAAATTTTGGAAATAAGAAATTTATTCAAGGAAGTACAAAAAACAGCGGAAAGCCTTAAGAATAGACTGGATCAGGCAAAAGAGAGAATCTTAGAACTTGAAAATAACATTTATAAGCAAGTCAGTCAAACAGAAAAAATAAGAGAAATAAGAAGAACAAACAAAGCCTACAAGAAATGGGATTATGTAAAATAGCCAAACATAAGAATCATAGGCACCTCAGAGAGTGAAGAAGAAAACACACAGGGTTGGATAATTTATTTGAGGGAATAATTGAAGAAAATTTCCCTGGCCTTGCTATAAATCTAGATATCCAGGTACAAGACGCACAAAGGACTCCCAGGAGACTCATTGGAAAGAGGCAATCACCACTACACATGGTCCTGAGCCCTGCTGGACTTTGGCTAGCAAAGGTAAATACAAAAGAGGTACTGGTAGGATCAGTAAGGTGGAAAACAGCAGGTAACTTACAAAGGAAGACCTATCAGACTAACTGCAGACTTCTCTACTAAGTTTCATATTTGAGGGAGAAGTACTTTTTTAGACAAGGAAGTGCTAAGGGAATTTGTGAAGATCAGATCAGCCGTGCAAGAAGTACTCAGACCTGCATTATATACTGATCAGCACCATAGGCACCCACTAGTATGAAAACATCCAAAAGCTAGTGTTCAGAGTCCAGATACCACAGCAACTTAAGAGGTAAAACAAAGCAATAAGGGTCTACTCCACAGGATGAATAAAAATCCACCACTTATTAATTCCTTCAGTGAATATGAATGGCTTGAACTCTCCACTCAAGAGGCATAGACTGAATGGATAAAATAACATGGGCCAAGTATCTATTATCTATAGGAAATACTTCTAATCCACAAGGACTTCTTTAGACTCAAGGTGAATGGAAGGAAAACAATATTCCATGCAAACGCAAAACAAAAGAAAGCTGGTGTAGCCATTCTCTCATCAGCTAACAAAGACTTTAAGCTGACAAAAGTAAAGAAAAACAAGGATGGTCATTATATAAGGATAAAGGGAACAATTCAACAAACAAACTTAACAATCCTGAATATTTATGTACCTAACGCAGTGGTGCCCGGACTCACATTTAAATAGAATGACAATAGCAGTGCCACCTTAAAGATCCTCCAAACAGAAAATAATCAAAGAAATAATAGACTTAAATAGAACTCTAGAACAAATGGACCTTATAGATATTTATAGACTGTTCTGTCCCCAAACTACCAAATATACATTCTTCTCATCAGCTCATGGAACATTCTCTAAAATTGATCATGTTTTAGTGTATAAAATATGTCTCAACAGATTACAAAGAAAAACCCCAGAAATTATACCATGTATCTTCTCATACCACAGTGGAATAAAACTAGAAATTAATTCCAACAGAAACACTCATTGCTACATAAAGTTATGGAAACTAAACAACCTATTACTGAATAGGAGGAGATAAAAGATGGGAATCAAAAGATTCTTTGAACTAAATGATAATAGAGACACAAGTTATTAAGATCTGTGGGATACAGCAAAAGCAGTACTGAGAGGAAAACTCATAACTCTGAATGCCTACATCCAAGAGACAGATCACAGACCAACAATCTAATCAGTTATCTCAAGAAACTGGAAAAGGAAGAACAAACTAATCCCAGTCCCTGCAGAAGAAAATAAGTAACCAAGATTAGAGCAGACCTAAATGAAGTTGAAAACAAAAGAACTAATACAGGAAATTAATGAAACAAAAACTTGGTTTTCTGAAATGATAAAATTGACAGGCCTCTTGCTAAATTAACCACAAACAGACAAAAAAAAAGGACTGTATAAGCTAAGAAATGAAAAAGGAGAAATCACACTAATATCATGGAAGTACAAAATATCATCTCTGAAGATACAATGTCAGACAATTAAGTTTGTGAGCTCATCCTACAAAAAGTACTACATACCTCCTTGCTGAATATCACTATGGTCACCTTGGAAGTATTCCTCTTGGCCATCTGGTGACTGCACTTTTTCTAGGATGCGTTTGTGAAATTAATTGTCCGACCTCATATAAAAATTTCCATGCTCATAAACTTGAAAATGTAAAGGAAATAGATAATTCCTTGGAAACACACAACCTCCCTAGGCTCAGTCAGGAAGAAATAGAACTGAACAATATCAAGTACCAAAATTGAAACAGTGATACAAACATCCCAACCAAAAAAAAGTTCTTGACCAGACAGTTTTACACATGAATTTTACCACGCTTGCAGAGAAGAGCTGGTTTCTATCCTACAGAAATT